TATTATATATTACTATATATACAATATTATAATAATATATTAAATACATTTTATATATAGACAGATTATATATATATAGATATGATATATAGTATAAGTAGATTATAGATATAATATATAATATATATTATATATATACATTATATAACATATATATATTTTAAAAATAATAAAAAATTTTAAATGTTATAAAAAGAGAAGTAGATAGAAATTTAGATATAATATAGAATAAATATCAACCCCAACTCCCCCCCCAACTCACTCTTCTCTCTCTCTCTCTCTCTCTCTCTCTCTCTCTCTCTCTCTCTCTCTCTCTCTCTCTCTCTCTGTTACACACACACCTACCTCTCATTTCACCCCCCCCTTCCTTTATATAATTCCTAATACTTTTTAATACATTTGTAAGCAAAGAAAGCTCAACATATAAATTCTGAAGGTCGAATCTTTCGGCTACATTGAGCACTGATATGTCAGAAAAATCATATTCTTTTATTCAGTGGGAAATTGAAATATATATGAGAGAGGACACTTCAATTCCTTGCTCCTAGTTGCTGTGGGGGGAGGGGGCCCAGTGTAGGGACTGTAGCCCTCGCCTCGATTAATTTTGCCGGGTATTTTCCTCTTCCTCTTCCCTTTTCCCTTTCTTCTTCATTCCCTTCTGTCCACTTCTCCAAATCGTTAACTCATATTTGCCTTTCTCGCTGCAATACTTTACCACAGTGTGACCTTTGCTGTCTGGTGTATTTGCTTGTGTTGACCATTGACCATTCTGGAAATCCACAACCATACCTTACTGAACGCCCCCCCCCAAAAAAAAAAAAAAAAAAAAATCCTTCGCTCCTAAGCCCTATCTTATCGGTATATTTTGTACACGCCGCTAATGGCCGTAGATGACGAAGCAGGAAATTTTCAATAAATAAATCCAAGAAAGGGGTCCATGTCACAAAAGATATACAATTATTATAATATTAGAAGATTACTATTACCACAGTATAACTATACTTACGAAGATGCAGTGAAATTTCAGTTACATTTTGTAATGCAAAGCAATGTGTTGTCAAAATAGCTGTTGGGAACTTTTGATAGAGAACATTTCCACACTATTTCAAGCAAGGAAGTCAAGGTTTCCTAAAATATTTGGGAACAGAAACTCCACTCTCTCTTCCTCTTCTTTCACCTCCACCTCCTCCTCCTCCTACCAACTCCACCTCCACCTCCTCCTCTACCACCACCACCACCACCAGAACAGATGCTGAGAAACTGCCCTTGCCCGTTTACGAATAGGCCACACCCGACTCACGTATTCATACCTCATGTGACACTCCAACCCACCTCAATGCTCCACACGTGATGTTCCTCTTTCAGTCCCACATATCCTACTATCCTGCCCCCTTTTTACCGAAGCCAGTACCCTCGTTTTTCCTTCTCTCTTCGCCGAACCCCCAACCTCTCGAACACCCTCGTGGAATCCCTCAACTTTTCAATTAACAACTAGTCCTTCTTTCGCAGAGGCTTAAATACTCTCAATTCGGTCTAATCACCCTTTGTCCTGAACTCTTGCCCTTCTATCAGTCCCTTACCTACCCAATTTATTCCCCTCTTTCTAATCCTTTCACTATCATACTGTCTTATAATGCCGTATGACCATGGAAAGACATTTTGTTTTAATAAATAACTTATTAGAACCCCTCCTACCACAGTATTTTACCATAGTGCTATATAACCTTTGATGTCTAGCACATTTATTAAATCAAAAATTAAAACATTAAATAATAAGCATTGCTCCTCCTCCTCCCCCCTCCCTTTCCCTCCCTCTCACCCTTCCTTCCTCCCTCTCTTTGTGTGTGTTAGGCATTGGGCACACTCACCTCACACATTCCTATCTCATGTCACAATCTGATCCATCTTTATGCTCCTTAGGCAATATTCTTCTTAGTCCCACACATCCTAACTATCCTGTCCCCGCTTTACAGCAACCCGTACCTTTGCTTTTCCTCACTTCTCACTTCCCCGACCACCCAACCTTTTGGACATCCTCTCGGAATCCCCTGCCTTTTTCTTAGAAAACTTATTCTCCTTCATCAGACGCGTAAATATCCCCACTTTGATCTAATTGTTCTACCCCCTTAACTCCTTCCCCTTCTAACAACCTTTACCTTGTACTGTGCCCCATCAGCTCTCTCTACCCTTTCAACTACCGTACTACTCTCTAAGTACTGTTTACCCTAATCATTAGCTCATTCCTACTTCTTTTCGCTACTGTACTTTACCATAGTGCTATATGACCTGGATGTTTAGCACATTCATTTATCTTAACTATTAACTATTTTTTATGTGTTGGGTGTTTGAAATATATAAATATGTATAGTAATGGGTGAGTGTGGATTAAACAGAACGCTAGAACAATTCAAACTTTTATGCTGTTTTGTTTGAATTGATGAGCGGTTTCATCACAATATATCATGATTACAGAATTGGAAGAATGCATAAAAAACATACAACTTACAGATGTATGAATATGTTACTGATATAGTAAAAATCTGGCGTGAAGGTAATTTGTTTACTGGGAAAATGGTACTCAGCCAGGTTTGAAGTATCTGTAGATATATGTAACTTTGTGTCTATATTTATTGAAATATTGGTTACTTAGAGGAAAGGAAAAAATCTGATATATTTACACTTGGTATGATTTGAATTCATGTGGTTACATTGTGTTTCTATATATACTAAAGGAATTAATGGGATGATTAACTAAGGAAAGGTTATGTAAAAAGTGAACAGTTGATTATAGATGACATGCTAATACAGAGTAGAAAATGTGGAATGTCACACTCTTGCATGTTAAAGATGTTTTTGTAGAGTTCAGTTAAAGTTTAAGTGTTGAATAAATGGTGCTGAAAGCAAAGCTTATGGAACAATAGTTAGTAAATGTATTGTTGGCAGTATGATTAAGCTTTCAATTATGTTAGAAAAAAATAATTATAAAAAAATGACAGACTAAACATTGAGTCAAAAGGTAATCACACAAACATCTGTATTATAGTTTGTCTCACAGGAGTACTGTTGTGAGACCCACCATAATACATATTAATTATAATAATAATAATACCTTATTATTATTACATTTAACACTAACCCTTCTTTCCCACTTTTTGTACAGTTTCATAATGTGTACTGTTTGTTGTGGAGGTAAGATATATTAAAACCTGCTTGAAACTCTAAGAAGAAATTGGAGCTCAAAAACGAGGCATTAGGGGTGTTCTGGTCTGCAACATATTACCCATAATCTGGAGGCTGTTGGTGCTACTGGTAATATAACCGTTTCAGACCTGATGTTGGAATCAGGGAGTTTAAATCTGAAGTATTTATGACGATATCATGGAGGAAGGCCTTCATTGGCAAAAAACAAACAAACAAAAAATGAGAGGACTGTATTTTTCAAGGTGGTTTGTGTTGCAACTATAAACAAATATTCTTTTTTGACATAAGATTCTGAATAATAGGATGCTTTTCTTATTATATATTTCACGATGATTAATAAAGGAAAGTATCATTGGATTTTCGTGAAGACTAAAATGTCGAGTGTTCAGGAAACAGTACGTGTGTTTGTTGTATTATTGGAGAAGTCTAGGATTATGCATTGTTCTCTAAAGGACCCTTCAATATGAATATAACCCCCCCCCCCCCCCGCCTCTCTGTCTCTTCCTCTCCCCCCCCACCGCCTCTCTGTCTTTCTCTCTCCCCTCGTTCTTCCTCTTTACACATATATGTTTATATATGTGTGTGTGTGTGTGTGTGTGTGTGTGTGTGTGTGTGTGTGTGTGTGTGTGTGTGTGTGTGTGTGTGTGTGCGTGCGCGCGCGCATCTGAAACAGAACGGTTCGTCTGTATGTATGTATCCTTTAAGAATCCAAACATTCTTACACGAACGTTGCAGAATTCAATACTTTTCTTGATGGAATTCAGTGCAAGCAGACTGTGTTGATGGTTTACCTTCCAGTGAGAAATGTTCAAGAAAGATACACCAATTTTGTAAACTATATGGACACTTAATAGTTTAAAAATTTCGAGTGGGTTTACTAAGTACACAAATACAGAATCACGAAACTGGCACGCAGACATGTACAGAATCATTCTTTCCTTCCCTCTCTCTCTCTCGCACCTTCAAGCATATACCCACACAAAATCTGTCACGAAGATTAACATATGCATATATTTTACTGGATGTAGAGGAACTAAGTGTCCTTCAGTACTCACTGATGCCACCCTAACCCCAGGCCTTAGAGGAATATGTGTGTCTTCAGAAGAAACTCTGAAGGTAAGGTCTCCAGCACTGCCCCATATTTTACAGTTTCCTTTGTACGTGTGTGTGTAACCAAGAAAATGTATTACCCATGACCTGTGTCCAATATTATGAACGAGATGTACTTTTAAACTCCATGTTTGTGAATGGTTGGCAAATTTATTTGGTGTAATGGTATTTTTATGCGTATAAAAGCGGAATTGCAGATGTGGTTATTAATAGGAGATTGATATTTGTGAGGAAACATTTGATTGGATCATAACTATTTTTCTTTTTTGTAATGAAGACGAATATGTATAATGCTCAAAGTATAAATACAGAGATAGATTGGCTACGACCAATAGGAATATGTGCATTGTGCCTTTTTAAACATTTGTAAAGAATTTAAAGCAAGAGCCAGTAAACAAAGCAATAAATATAACAGTATTTACAAATGATTCATTTCTATCCGACCCCTCGTATATAGCTTAGATTTATTCTTGCTTGCTAAAGTTATTGGAGTCGACTTGACATTTGTTTTGTAGAAAAAAACAAAAAAACTCCAAACTGAATCAATTCGTATGTACACATATAAATCCAAGGTACAGGTATGGATATAAGCCAGTTCGATATAAATTTGTCTTATAATAACCCAGATTTACTCCGAACTATGTACTAAAACGTTAATAGATACTGGGAAATAAAGGTCGGCATTTCTGTTAACTTTTTATTATTACATATGGCACCGAGAGCTTAGTAATGTGTAAACTGGCACATCCAAGCATAATACAGGTAAAGATAATCTGTACACAACAATAAACATCCATTATGACGTGTGTTAAAAAAACAGTAATGGTCAAACACGTGACAAAATGCAAAACATTTATGCAATGTTTCGCTGGTGCTAGTCTTGCACTCAGCAGAAAGTCCGATATATAGATTCAATATACATTAAAAATACTGCATCATTTGTCCATATGATGACTCGCACTATACATGAGCAAGAAGTCGGTATTGCTAAGAAAAGTATTATACAATAAAGTTTTCTACAATATTACATTATGTTACAGATGTATCTAATGTGTGCTGAGTTAGCCATCTGAATATATTCAATTATGTAGAATAGCTATATACATATATTCAATTATGACAAGATTTTGCACTTAGACACTTGGGTATTCAGTCTCCCACGCGTACACACAGAACTTCTCTATGCGTGAGTAAATCTATAAATGGCTATTTTGTGTTTGCGGGGACTACGAATCTCAAGCAACGATGTGTGGTGCTGAAGACAGTGCTTCACCAGATACTTGTTTTCGTAGAACCGCGCAGAACACACACCGCACCCGTACTGTGGTCTCAGAAGGTAGAGCAAACCACGGTGTCTTGACCCGATGTGACCACTCAGGGACTCGTTATCGCAGAATTTGACCCGACACGTGTTGCATCGGAACATGCGCAGGGGAGAGTACAGCTTGAGATGTGTAAATGGAGACACGTCAGATCCGTGGTCTTCGTCTTTGTCCAACACAGCTGGGTGGTTTTCCTCCTGCTGCATCATCTCGGGGTTTCCATGACATGTATGCGTGCTTGAAGGAGGAGGGAGGTCTGGAACCCGTGGCATTGCTACAGGCCTCGGTCGACGGTAAGTACGGGTGGCAGCAGTTGGGACGACCTCGCCAGGGCCCGCCTGAGACCCGTCCGTGATTAATTTCTTGGCTCCGTCAACTATCTTGCTTGCGCCAGAGACCAAGCTGCTTAACTCGCGTTCTCCAATATTCTCCTTGTCTCTCTTCTTGAAAGCCTTTCTTGAGCGTAGGCCTAAGCCCAAACGCCTCCTCTTCCTCTGTCCTCCAGCTTTCTCGTTGAGGTCCATGAAGTCAGCCGCAGAAAGGCTGTCGACGCGGATGGGAATGGTCCTCCTGGAGCCGTCCTCACACACCTCCTGGCCTTGCATCTTCTGCATCTGTTGAAGCTGGTGATGGTTTTGGTAATTCTGCTGCTGCTGCTGTTCGTTCACTAGGCGCTCTGGTGTGCTCTGTTCTGGTGACTCTGGTATAAAGACTTCTTCACTGGTGACCGGAGGAACACTGAACCGCAACTCACGCTTTACACTGGGCTTTCGACTCAATCCACTTTGGTGACGCAAAATACCTTTGCTTGTGGAAACAGGTAAATGTTTTTGATTTTCTTGTGCATTTGGCTGCGCTGTCGGTTGCTGAGTTTGTTCCTTCGCTCCTGTTCCCTGAGGTCGCGGTGGCGGTGGCGGCATCGGGGACCTGAACTTGCCACGGTGCGACGACCACGTGGCGTCCAAATCAAGGGCCTCCATATTTCTGCCAGATCCTCCAGGGACCAGAGACATAGTACCCATCTTGTTACTCAGCCCAGGAGTGGAGGTCACACCTGGGTGAAACGAGACGAGTTGAGACAAGTCCCCTGACGAGAGACTCCGAAGGGACTCTGCCGAGGCCCCGCTGGTAAGAGGCTTGAACTTGGAGTTGACCATGCCCTCGAAGTCGGAAAGGTGCAACTGCTGCATGTGGTACAGCAATACTTGTTCGCCCGTTTTGCCGTGTGGAACCTTTTTGGTGCAGAAAGGGCACTGGATGCCGGCTGTGTCTGACATTATACAATTATTCTTTTCCAAAATCTCAATGACCGATGCTCTGTGGAAGTCAATCAGATGCTTTGGAAGGACAGAGTTGTTGAAGAACCGTGCTTGGCATATGGGGCAGAATTGCAGCTGCACCTGGCCGGGGCGACTCTCCACCATGGTATTCAGTTCCTCTCGATGGACTTTGTGGATATGGCTGCCCAGGCTCTTTTCATACCCGAAGTACCGCGGGCAGAAGGGGCAGAAGATATTCCGTGGCTGGTGGCCGGCGTACGTGGCCAGCTTGTTCGCAAGGTCGGCTAATACGGAGCCATTGAAGGGACTGGGGACCTGAGGGCTCTTGATGTACGGCGAACTCATTTCCACGTAGCCGGGGGAAGGGCGGTGCGAGGAAGGGGTCTGTGGCTCCTGGAACGAGCGCTTCAGCTCCTCACACTCGCTGTCACTGAGCGAGTCTCTCTCCTCGTTCGTCCCCGTCCAGATCTCAATGTAGCTGTGGTGGAGGCGGTGAGGCGCTCCGGTCCCGCCTCGAGGAGTTGATGGCGCGCTGTTGCTGCCGCACACGGCCGAGCTGTTGAGTCTGTCCTTCTGCGGGGACAAACGGCTGGCGGCGGGGAAGGGGACATTCATGTAGAGTGGCTTGGGCGCCGGCAGCGAGGAGGCCGACGCGGCAGACAGGATGGGCGGGGCCGAGTGGGGCGGTGTGCCTGTGGCAGCGGGCGGAGGTCCTACAACATTGTCATAAACAGACACGGGTCGATCCTGACGCTGAGGCGGCTGGAGATTGACGTAGCAATGCGTGGCTTCGTGAACGCTGCGCGGACCGAGAGGGAAGGGCGTCGAGCTCTTCGGGTGACTCTCCTGTCGGTGGCTCTGTTGACACTGGGGGTTCTGATGGTAGGCATGGCACGCGGTGGCCCCCGTGCTGAGCGCCCGGGGCCTGGGGGTCTGGCTCTGGCACACTCGACCAACCACGGCCGATTGAGTGTGTCTGAGTGCCATGCTGCCGCCCGTAGCTTCCTGCTCGCCGCGGACTTGCACGTTGCTGTTCCTGTCCAAGTGGCGACTCACGCTCGTGATGACGGGCACGTGAGCCACCGCGCCGACGCCCTTCTCCTGCGGCGCCCTCGCTGCGCACGGCGGTGGCACGCCGACATAGGCCCGGGGCATCGGTCGGTTGACAATGTGCGCCACATTGGTAGTGATGGCCGCGGGCGGCTGAGTGTGGGCGGCGCGCGCGGCGGGTTTGAGCGGCTCGTGCTGAAGCTGAAGGTACTGCAGGTCAGCAATGTCCTGGTTGATGTTGGCGAGAACCCGGGAGAGGTCGGCCTCCATCACGGTCTCGCTGCTGCTGTTGCCGAACACCTCGTCCATTGTCGGCGCCTCACCTGCACATCTGGAAGGAGGGAGCACCGTCAGTAAGTCATGCGCTAAATCAACATTGGTAACAATGATAATGATGATAACGATAAAATAATAACAAGAACAATGATGATGATAACAAATACAACTGAAACAATAATAAACATTAATAATGACTTTACTAACAACAACGATGATGAGGACCATAAAATGTTAAAAGAAACACACCCTTATTCCCGTGGCCAGAAGACCGTTAAATTCAAATAAAACCTCGTTCGTGGAAATAATAGCGATAGCGGTCTATTTAGCGGGGCCAGACCCGCATTGTCACTTATCATTTCCAGAAAAGGATTATATGTTTTATAATCAGACACACACACACACATACACTATATATATATATATATATATATATATATATATATATATATATATATAGAGAGAGAGAGAGAGAGAGAGAGAGAGAGAGAGAGAGAGAGAGAGAGAGAGAGACTGACTAGTATGCATACTCAGTGAGGGGAGTGGAGCCGAGAGGAGCCGAGAGGAGCCGAGGGGAGGCAAAGGAGGGGAGTAGAGACGGCGTCAAATCAACCATGACGTTGCAAGATCCTCTAACGTCTCTCTACTACTTAGGCATGACTCAACGGTGCCAGTAACGGTCGTATAGTAGTGCCACGCGCTGCCCTCATCGGCACTCACTCGCTCATTCAGCCCCCCCCATCTCCCTCCCTCTCTCATTCTTTTGTATCATATTCTCTCCCTGTTCCTCTCTCCATCAGTGTTTCCTTATCTTTATCTCATTCTCTCTCTCTCTCTCTCTCTCTCTCTCTCTCTCTCTCTCTCTCTCTCTCTCTCTCTCTCTCTCTCTCTCTCTCCTTGTCCTTCTCTCATTCTTCCCTTCTCTCTCCCTCCCTCCCTCTCTCCTTTCCAACCATTTTCTTTATTTCACTATTCAAATTTACTCCTAACGGTCTTGCCAACAAGCCACTATATTATCATCCACAAAAAAACGGTATCACTCATCTTTTATATAACACTCCATTATTTGGTGCTTTTACACGGAGAAGTGATTCAGCCTCAATACAAGCCAAAGCGGCGGTTTAGGGCGAGAGATGGAGGGAATGAGGAGGAGAGATGTGTGTGCATGTATTTATGTATGTATGGATGTATGTATGTGTGCATAAATATAAACATACACATGTTTATATATGTATGTTTGTGTGTGTGTATGCATGCATGTATGTGTATGTGTAAAAGAGAGAGAGAGAGAGAGAGAGAGAGAGAGAGAGAGAGAGAGAGAGAGAGAGAGAGAGAGAGAGAGAGAGAGAGAGAGCAGACAGAGGAGGGAGATGAGGTCACATGCCACCACTAATCCCTCAACCGAAGAAACTCATAACGTCATGTCCTGCATTTAACAGAAAAAAGTAACTGCGGTTATTTTAACTTAGTGTCAACAGATATAGAAAATGGAGGGTGGTTGCACGTAAAACAAATAATTAAAAAAAATGTATCAGTTGTAGAAAACGGGGAACGGTTGCTAGAAGAAAGGGAGGGAGTGAAGGAACCAAAAAGAAAGGACAGAAAATAATGAAAGGAGGAGGGAAGGAGGGAGGGAACGAAGGAAGATGGAGAAGAAAGACTATGGAGGAAAGAAGGAAAGACAGAAAATAAGGTAAGAGTAAAAGAAAAGAAAGATAGGAGGCAAGGAAGGAAGGAAGGAACAAGGCCACGTGTAGCTAATTACCAAATGGACAGTGACAGCCCCTCCCCCACACGCACCAGATTGGGGGGAGGGGGGGGGGAGGCACAACGAGAGGTCAAATGCCACGATTTACACCCTGGAGCTGTCACCACACGACCTCCGCGGGCAACGATTTTGGAAAAAAGAGTAATATGTAATGTAAAGTCGATATAGAAACATTTAGCAAGAGATAATATACCGGATGTTGTAATCGTTCACTACTGATAAGACGGACGAAAAAAATACGTAAGTAATGAGATAAGAGAGATTAGCATAAAGGAGCTTTTGTCGGTTTGCTTGCCTCTCTCTCTCTCTCTCTCTCTCTCTCTCTCTCTCTCTCTCTCTCTCTCTCTCTCTCTCTCTCTCTCTCTCCCTCCCTCAGCACACACATACACAGAAAGATAGAGAGAGAGAGAGAGAGAGAGAATCTTCACCAACAAACCGAGCCGGAGGTGAAAATAAACACACACCAGAGGTTAATTAGCACATCCACACGTGGTAGAGCACACACACACACACACACACACAGACACACACAAACAGTCCTGCTGGGTTGGGTGTCGAGAGGCTGTATATACACAAAGTAGACGTTGGCATATGGATCACAGGACGCACGTGCACACAGTGTATATAAATATCAAATATCACGTTCCCTATTATGACCTGAATGCTGAAAAGAGGGATAAAGAGGGGGGAGGGAGGGGAGGAAGGGGAGGGAGGGGAGGAAGGAGAGGGAGGGGAAAAGGAAGGAAGGGAGGAAGGAAGGGAAGGGGGAGAGGGAGGGAGAGGGGGAGAGAGAGGGGAGAGGGAGAGGGAGAGAGAAAGAGAGAGAGAGAGAGAGAGAGAGAGAGAGAGAGAGAGAGAGAGAGAGAGAGAGAAGGGGGGAGGAGGTACTTTAATGAATTTAGGGTGGTAGGTAGGGGTGGGGGTGGGGTGGGGAGACATTATTTTACAGCGCCCTCGAGATATTCAAATTATGGCCCTCCCCCCCCCCACCCTCTCCAAACACACAAACACACTGAGACGTCGCCCACAGCGCCTCGATCTGACTCAACTTGCCAAAAACAGCTTTTATAAGCTTGAAACGCACTTGCGGGCGAATAGGGGGGAGGGTGGGGGAAGACAGCCAATAAACGGGTCTATTGTACGTGTGTCTCGCTGTCCATGACGGTTTAACGGCATCGTAATGAGTGCCCTTCTGTTCCCGACCAAGGAGCAGTTCGCGTAATGATTCACGACCAGCTTCTCGAGGGAATAATCTAGATTTCATTTCTACAGGAACAAGCTGTGATTTTTTTTTCTCTTAATGCATATTAAAAGGACTACGAGCAAGAGTGATGGAAATATTTGTGAAGTGAATAACGAGATAATGAAAAAATAATAATAATAATAAAAAACAAAAGTGTATACCAAAATATCCCAAAGCCAAAAGTCTATAAAACTATTCCTAAAATCAAAAACAAATTTTTAAAAATCTATATAGAAAATCGAAGAGGAAAAATAAAAATAAAACTATTCTTTCGAAAGTCTCAACCAAAATAATGAAAACCAAGACACGAGGAAAATAATCTATAGAAAGTATAGAAAAAAATCCTTAAAAATTATGAAAAGTATATACCACAAGAAATTAAAAAATGGAAAACTTCATTCATTCAACAGTATATACAACGAAGAAGAAAAAAGAAGAGAAAGAAAAAGAGGAAGAGGAAGAAGAAGAGGAAGAGAAAGAACAAGAGGAAGAAGAGGAAGAAAAAGAGAAAGAAGAGGAAGAAAAAGAGAAAGAAGAGGAAGAAAAGGAAGAAGGAAACGTCCTCATTTCCTCATCTTTTCAAAACCCGGCGACGCATCCTACAGTCCTCTCAAAATGAAGACACGAGAACCTAATCTTCTTCCGGATAATCCAAAAGCCCTGGCTCTCGATTATGACAGGATTCTCTCTTAAGCCCGGATCACACCATCCCTTGACATGACCTGGGGGGTAGGATAGCCCACCCCCCTGCCCCCGCCCCCCTCTCCCTACCCATCCCTCCCTCCCTTCCTTCCTCCCTCACACGCCAGACCTCACGCGGGAGTGGGTGTAGGTGTCACCCCCCCTGCTGTCTTCGGACCAACATGGGGACATCTTGGGCCTTTGTCTCCTCCTTCCCTCCCCTCCCCCCCACCCTCCTCAGACTATCCAATCCCACCCCTCCTCCCCAACCCATCCCATACCCTCCCCCTCCCCCCACCCCTGCTATAAATGTTTGAAGGGGAGGGGGTTGTCTTTGCCTTCGGGTGTGGGTGGGTAAGGGTGGGTCAGGGTGGGTAGGTGGGGGCGTGGTGGTAAGGGGGGGGGCGGTGGTAAACTGCTGCTTTTTTCACCCTAACCATTTCTTTATGACAGGTGCATGCCAGGCTCATTAAGAGTGGAAGAAAGCTCGTAATGACTCTACCAACGCGTACAAGCTTTGCTGTGTAGAGGAGAGGAAGGGGCGGGGGGAGGGGCGGAGGCAGGGCAGAGGAGAGAAGGAAGGGGGGGGGAGGGAGAGGGAGAGGGAGAGGGAGAGAGAGAGAGAGAGAGAGAGAGAGAGGGAAAGAGAGAGAGAGAGAGAGAGAGAGAGAGAGAGAGAGAGAGAGAGAGAGAGAGAGAGAGAGAGAGAGAGAGAGAGAGAGGGGGGGAAAGAGAGAGAGAGAGAGAGAGAGAGAGAGAGAGAGAGAGAGAGAGAGAGAGAGAGAGAGAGAGAGAGAGAGAGAGAGAGAGATGAAAAAAATAACAACATCCATCTCTATTATAAAAATTCCCCCCTGGCACACCCCTCTCCCTTGCATTACCCACAATAAGGCCACGTGATATAGTACCCAAGGCGAAGACCTCGGTACCTCCACAAAAAGCTTACGACATACAGAGTACCCAAAAGCCACAAGGTTGCACATAATCCACATATAAGGAAGGACGGAAGCATCCCAACTGCATCACAATTCCCTGTTACGTCCAATACCTCTCTCGTTTTTCCCCCTCACATCCATTTCCAAATGTTATATATACATATATAATACAAGACATCCCCCCCCCCATTTTTTCTTACCTTATTTTTCTAAATCTGGAACCATCTTAGCCAACACGTTCAAATCTATAATACAAATTTCTGGAAGTCCAACGTGATCGGTTTTCATCACCAAGCCAAACCGCCACCTCTTAACTACCCCCATAAACTACCCTTCGACCATTCAACATTGCAAACTACCGTTGAATGGCAATTAACTGTCCTCTGGTTAGTCTTAAAAGGAGATGGGCGTGGCCGGAAAAAGCCCAC